AGCTCATATAAATCATTCGTCGCCGAGAAGGTCAACTTCGAAGTCTTGCCCATTACCGTACTCCTTCCAGGAATCGATCTTGTGTACGGTAACGGGCGAGAGTTCGAAGTTGAATTTCTGGACCACCAGTGGATCGTATGAGCTGCTACTTGGATATTGGCTTAGTTACGACCTTCCAATCAGTATCTAAATGAAAACTCCAGATATCCAAATTTGCCTGTATACTGTCTTCAGACCAACTAATCCTAGTTCTTCAAGATGAGTAACTTCATACTGCGAACCGCTGCAAAATCTTCCGCGATTCTGGCTGACGATGCAACTCGCTCTTTTCTTTCAAACTAAGAGTAAGATCACAGCAGTACTAGCATTCACGACGAGGTTCACCATTTACCTAGCTGTGCCTTGCCAGCAGCGCTGTGCCCGTTCTGCATTAGTGCAGTCGGGTTGCCACTTACTGCACCGGCTGCGGTTGTATTTACCGCACCGGAACCCCCTTCCGTCAGCTTACCCAATGCCGATAGCACTAAAACTGACATTTAAACCTAAATCAACAGGAAATGCCTATCAAACAGCTAGGTTACAAACCTCCGCCTAGCATTCCTAACAGATTCTGTTGCTGAACCTGAACTCCAGGATTGAACAACGCAGCCAGAGCACTCAAGGCTTGTAGGTTGAGACCGCCTCCAGAAAGCTGTAACATGTGAACATTATGCAACATGTATCTTGCAATTCCATGGCTTTCCATGTAGATGCTAACTGAGAAGTCCAACTAAGCCATCGCCCAAGCGGTAGCTCCTATGAGTGATTCGTGGCCGAGAAACTTAAGTCTGAACCCTTGCCCAATACCGTATTCACAGACCTCGTTTCGCAAAGAGTACGGTACTGGGCGAGAGAGTGAATTTCTGCCACGAACAAAAGCTACTGCTTAGATTACACCTCAGTTGTGCCATCTTAACCAGTTCCCACTTAACAAATGTAACCATTTGCCTTGGCTCTGCTTCCATTAACAAAAAAAATCCCTACCTGCTGCAAGAGAGCTGCTTGGCTCCCTAGAGATGCCAAACCCGTTGCCGCGGGTGTAATGGCCGAAGCAGCTGACGCAGGCATCTTTTTCACTTCCTT